CAACTAAGTACAAAACTCCAAACATAACTAAACAGCAAAAACTCGAACAAACTCGAGCAAACTCCCAACTAGTGCAGGCTCCAATACCTGCAAGTAAAAAAATAAATGCATTTAGGAACTACTAAAATAACAATGTTTAAGTTAATGAAAGGTACTGTAGCAAAAACAATAGTGATAGAAAGAACAAAAAGTAATAATACTGAAACTAAAATAATAATGCTGAAGCAAAAATGAAATGTGTTGGGGCAGAAAAAAAGTGTAAAAATCAAGTTAACTGTTTTTAAATCTACCCTAAAGCTCTAAACTAATCTAATAGGCTACTTCTAAATGACACAGTAAGACATTTCTGAACTAATTCATTAGGAGAAACTTCTAAGTGAAGTAATAAACTCTAAATTAAATTCTCAGGCGACTTGTACTAGAAGCATTTAAACCTATACCAACCAATTTATTAGGGAGCTTCTAAGTGAAGTAACAAACCCTAAATTAATCAAAACAAGCAACTTCTAATTGAAGCCGTAAGCCCTGTTCTAAACTAAATCTATAGGTAACTTTTAAATTGAAACAATAAGCTCTAACCTAAGTCAAATAAATATGCAACTTCTAAGTGAAGCCATAATTCCTACCCTCAACAAAATCTATAGACAACTTCTAAATTGAAGCAATAAGCCCAATCATAAGTCGAATAATCGGGCAACTCCTAAGCAAAGTCATAAACCCCATCCTAAATAATTTAACGGGTAACTCCTAAGCGGAGTTGTAATCTCCATTCTAAATGAATTAAACAGGAAACTCCTAAGCGGAGCTATAAGTCCTATCCTAAATAAATTAACGGGCAACTCCTAAGTGGAGTCGTAAGCCCCATCACAACTCAAATTAATGGGTAACTCCTAAGTGGAGCTATAAGCTCCACCCTAAATAAATCTAACTGGCCGCTCCTAAAAAGAGTCGTAAGGCCCAAACTAAACAAACCAAAAATATCAGACCACTCCTAAAAGGAGCAATTAGCCCCAAACTCAAATTCCAACATACCAAAATCAACAATAAACCACCTCAGTCTACTTAGGATTCCTGAGAGGAGGCAACATGGCTGCTAATCAGATTTCCTTGATACTACAACCAATGGTTCATTAGCATTGATGGGCAGAGATCTATGGTTTCCTCGGGATTACGGGACTATGGGATCTTGATTGGGTCTACCTCTATTCCATAGAAACGAGACTATTAAACCTAAAATTCTAGAGCTATGCTAGCTAAAGTGATTCATCCTTAATCGAGAGTGCTCTCCTAAGAAGCGAGAGGGGTAATTAACTATGAGGTCTTGCACTTATAGGAAGTAAGGACCCCAACATAAATAAACCCCCGATATGGACATCGGTGGGAAATCTAGTTAATTAAAAAAGCAATCTACCTTAAGAAAAACGGAACCCTAAGTCTGGAAGGCGGGATTCATGCCTAGAGCCATTTTTCTTGAGCGAACACTGGGATTCCCCAGACATTTTAGGATAGTGTGATGCTTTCTTTTTCCTACGAGTGATTCAAAGAGCTGTGCAAGTAAGCTGGAAACCATCATGCATTATAACTGCACCCCTACTGTTTAACCACCCCCTTCCTACTCCCTTCCACACGTTTCAGCAATTGTTTTCTCTTCACCGACAGCCTACAATATCGCCTAGCCCTTCCAAAATATAGTAATTTAGTTCCTTCTGCCTAAGTCTGTCCGTGGAAACTTAATGCTTGGAAAGGAAAGCTTCATGTTATAGCCGTTACTAATGATAATAAAAAACTAAAATTTCACCTTAATAAACCATGAACTTTTGTCCTATGGTATTTTGACACACTTTATTATTCCAGCCCTCTGAGTATCAATGATTAAATTGCAGCAGAAGTATTGTTTTCCTAGGTCTTGATCGGGTGTCTTTTAGTTCTTGAACGTTAATCAAAGTAATTCTCTATGCCTATTGGATATGACGAGCCTAGAACAGTAAAATCTTATTATTTAAGCAGATATCTGTGGAGACTCTTTTGTGTTTCAGCTATCCTCAAATTTTAGTATTATATCATGATATTTAAATTTTTAGCCGATTGGAAGGAAAATTAAATGTCATGCTGTATTATGATGGAAGGAAAAGTAAAATTTATGTGCTTTGTGATTCTGTATTAATATATGCAGTAAAAAGGGGATTTGTTTTATAGGTTATCTCATGCGATTTGTTCTAGTAGGGAATCTCCTTGGACTTCCTGCTATATCCATTCCTGTAAGTCACAATCTTATCAAATCACTTAACTCTTCTTTGATATTCGAACTTAAATTGGTAACCATGTCTAACATAAAAAAAAAATGAAAATTTGATATTTGTAATCTCCTTGAACTTAATTTTTTTTTCTGCGGTTCCATATTTCTCCTTGGAATGCATGTCATAACTTATGTGATACATTTAATTGTATGGATGAAGAGCATCTCCAAAAGAAAATTATAATTTGATGCTTCATCATGTACTTGAAACACTTGCGTTATTGAAGTTTCTGGTGTATTTAATCCTATAATTATTTTTTGCGTCTTAAACAATTTTCATGAATTTGAATAGCTATCATTTGAACACTGACCAACTGAGAAGGGGATGCAATAAAATGTGTGTTCTGGCCTAAGGGTACATTACCTCTCCTGAATGGACTCGTAGTCTTACATGTAGTTACATTAGAATGATCTAATTATGAGATTGATCTTGAGAAATAGCATACTCCGCCCAATTAAATCTTGCATTTTTTTTATTATTTAAAATAGTGGTATAAACAAGTTAAAAAAATTTTAAGATCGTTTGATTATTAATCATATAAATCAATTTTTCTCAATGGATAGTTTATATTACATGAAAAAATAGTTATGATTTCAAAGTTGAGTCTTTCAAATGATTTGGACTCAAATACATGTGTTGTTGATGATATATGGCATGTATTGGATAGTTTTAATTTGTTATACATAGGTAAAATAAGACTTTTACAAGGTTTTTATATGCCGTCCAATCATCTTTCTATTTTCTCGTGCTTGATGGGTGATTGAATCATTATAGAAATGAATGAAAGTAGGCCACATGTAATTCTTCTATTGTAGATCATAATTAATGGTGTGATCTTGTGTTTGAAGATTATATAAGACAAAAAATTTGAAATAGACTTTTGGTCCTTGAGATGGACTTTTACCACAATTTTGATTTTGCATATATGGTTGTCTATAATTTTTAAACTTAATAGCACACCATTGATTGTCATCTTCAACATTAAAACTACTTCAGAAAAAAAAAAAAAAAAAAAAACCTCATGGTCAATATGGACCAAGTTTCACCAATTTTTTGATAATTTAACTTCTCATCAAGCATGTAGAAAAATAAGAATAATTGGACGAAATATAAAAGTCTCTTAAAGTCTAGTTTAATTTATGTATTTCACCTATCAAATTATCAAATATATTCTAAATATCATAAATGTCTCATGTATTTAATGCCTAGCAATTTTAAAGTCTCTATAATTTAAAATCACTTTTTTTTCTTGAAGTTAGAGAAAAATAAATTTGAAGCATCCTATCAATTATTAAACAATCTTTTTAAGGACGATCGAATGACATATGGAGCCATTTTAAAATTTTAGTTGTACCCATATATATCACTGATCAAAATCATTAAACAATATCACCGACAACCTATTTTTGTTTATTGCAAGCCATTTCATAGCCTCAACACTTAGAAATAATTATCATTATTTTATGCAACAACAACAACAATATCAAGCCTTTATCCTAATATGTGGGGTCAGCTACATGAATCTTTTTTGTTTCTATTGTATCATGTTAAGAGTTAAATCCTCATTTAAATCTAATAAAGAAATATCATTTCTAATATTTTTTAACCAAGTCTTTTTAGGTCTAACTCTACCTTTCTTAACATAAGTCAAATCTAATGCATCTACTTTCCTAACCGGGTCATCGGAAGGCTGTCATTTATGTGACCAAACCATTTAAGGCTACTCTCTCTAATCTTATCTTCCACTAGAGCTACTTCAACTTTTTCAAGTATATGCTCATTTTGTATTATGTCTCTAAGAGTAAAGACACTCATCCACCTGAGCATCCTCATCTTTGCAACACTTAACTTAATATTATGCTTCTCTTTTAATGGCCAACATTATGCTCCATAAAGCATTGCAGGTCTAACCACCATATTATAGAATTTTCTCTTAAGTTTGAGGGGAACTTTTCTATCACACAATAAGCTCGATGCATTCCTCCACTTCAACCATCCAACTTGAATTCTACTAATAATATCCCCATCTATTTCACATCACTATGAATAATAGATCCAAGATATCTAAAACGTGTACTCTTATTAATAACGTGATCGCCCAAAGTCACAATCCCCCCACTAGATCTTCTATTACTAAAATTACACTCCATATATTCAATTTTATATGTACTCAAACAAAAGTCTTTAGACTCTAAGGATGACCTCCATAATTCAAGTTTACCTTCATCTCTCTCTCTAGTCTTATCAATAAGGAGAATATCATCAGTAAAAGGCATACACCATGGTACAACCTCTTGCAAATGTCTAGTGAGAACTTCCATGACTAAAGCAAAAAGATATGGCTTAAGGCTGATCCTTGCTGTAATCCATCTGAAATAGGAAAATACTTGGTCAAATCACCTTATGTTTGAACACAAGTATCACCTCCTGCATACATATCCTTAATGACTTGAATATAAGCATTATTAACCCCTTTTTTTCTAGAACTCTCCATAGCACTTCTCTTGAAACTTTGCCATAAGCTTTCTCTAAATCAATAAATATCATATGTAGATCCTTTTTATTCTCTCTATACTTCTCCATCAAACCTCTCAGTAAATGTATAGCTTCCATTGTAGACCTACCCGGCATGAATCCAAATTGATTTTGAGAAACATTAGTATCACTCCGCAACCTATGCTCCATATCCATAATTTTAAAGTATGACACATTAACTTAATTCCTCATTATTTTATGCAATTGAAGAAAAAAAAAATGATGCATCTGATTCGTGATTAAATGATCTTTTAAAATATTGAAATTGTATATTTCACTAGTTTTTGAGATATTGAAGAGAATGAACATGCATTCAAAGGTAAACATCAAAATCTAATGGGAGAAAAGTTTATCCCTACATTTTTATATTATTATTGTAAATTGTTAGCATCCCGATAATTTATCACTTGACTGTGTATTGATTCTTAGTTGGGCTGAAATTTTGAGCAAGGAAAATTGCTTATTATGTCCGGTTAGGTGTGATTCTAGTTTCAATAAGAAGCCCGTTTTTGTTGAAGTGCAAAACCTCCTATCAATAGCAATCAGTAGTAATTTCTCCAATAATAAAACTACAACTAAATCATCAAGATTTTGAACTTTCAGCATTAGAGTTAAGAAGAATAAACATGCTTTAGTTCATTTTTCAGGGTTCCTTTAACTCACTCTATTCCATTTGACCTGTTAGAATCACTTGCAGGTCTATTTTCAGCAAATATGACCTGGTAGTTGCTTACATGTTTGCTTTCAGAAAATGAAATCATGAATTTTTGTAAAAGTTTGCTCGGTAGTTAATATCTTAATTAATCATTCAGATTGGTCATGATAAAGAAGGACTTCCTATTGGCCTGCAATTAATTGGTCGTCCATGGGGAGAGGCTACAATTTTACGTGTGGCTTCAGCTGTAGAGGTAAAATTGCTGCTCTTACATTGTGCAATACTGCTTTCCTCTAAACATTTTCCTATCCCCTTTTTTTTTTTTTTGTAAGTGCTTGTTGGGAGGATGATATTGGCTTCTTCAAATAGAAATGCTGCTAATTTTGGCTCTAATTAACTTTCATTTAGGCTCCTACAACAGAATAAGAGAGTAATTGTAGCAACAATTATGTCTTCTTCTCCATTTTCAAATTCTCATATATATATAGACAAAGTGATTGCATTCTCTAACGGCTATTAAGATAGACAAAATAATCTATTTATTCTTATCTCCTACTTTGTATAATGTGATTTCTCATTATAACCTTTTTAAATTTTAGCGCTTATTCTATATCTATGCTTCCCTACATTTAAGTGGATATTATCAAATCACATAAATTTTGTGCTTGCATGTATTTATGAATTTCTTGAATTTTATTTATCAACTTATTGTTTTTACTCATCATTATTATCCTAACAATTTCTCTTTTTTATTTTTGGGTTTTTTTGCAGGAAATTTGTTATAATTCGAGGAAGAGACCTTCCACATTTTATGATGTTTTGAAGATGAAATAATTCAGCCATTTATGCTCTGCTCTGCGGCACTGGGGGATCAAGTTCATCGACTCATCCAGTTAGTTCTTTCCTGGATCAACAAATATTATGTGTTACATATGAATGCTTATTTGCTCTATAAAATTGAAGGTCAAACTCTAGACTCCTTATCTATTTAAATAAGTTGTCTCAAACATTTGCCAGAGATAATGTAATAAAATCTATCAGATGACCTATGATTGACTTATGCCTACTTATCTCTTGTTTAACGTTAGAAGAGAAACTCTAAAATTGTTTATTTCTTCAGACGTTTAGCAGAATCAACTCTTTTTTATCTGCTTTTCAAACAACGATTAAGGCTTCGTTTGGGACGGCTTTCTTAATGCTTTTTAAAGTATTTTTTTAGTATAAAAATTAATATTTATGTACTAAAAAACTGATTTAAGAAGCAGTAAGAGAGCGGTCTCAAATGAAGTCTAAGGCTTCGTTTGGGACGGTTTTTTTACTGCTTAAAATAGTTTTTTAAGAAGCAGCAAGAATGCCGTCTCAAACGAAGCCTAATTCTTGTAGTAATCACGTGGAATTAATTTCTGTGTTGCTTATCAGCAGCAAGTGTAACTTTCTAGGGTACCGTTTGGGATGGCTTTTTTAGTGCTTCTTAAAACAACTTTTTAGTTAAAAAATTTAAATTTTTGCATTAAAAAATTACTATAAGAAGCAATAAGAAAGCCGTCCCAAACGAAACTTAGGTCTTATCATGGAAGCGATTGCATTTTGAAGAAATCAATTGCGCTTGAAAGAAAAATGAGAGGCCCAGAAATAAAGCACTTTATATTGCAGAATTTTAGAACTTTCACTATTTTAATGTATGGCATTTCTTACATTGAGTCATTTTCTGCAATTTAATACTAATTTTCTGTTTTGTATTAAAAAAGTGCTTTAAGAAATCAAACGAAGCTTAAACATGGTGATCGCATAAATTATGCCCTATTCATTACATTAGTTCTACTTGAATCTAGGGGTTTAAATGAGTCGCATCGAGCTCGAGTCTTTTTTGTTTAAGTTTGAGTTTGATTAATTAATTGAGTTCAAATTTAAGATATAGCTTTTATTCTTTAGCTCACGAGGAAGCTCGTTTGTTTGTAATGAAAGAGAAAAAATGATTATTATTATTTCTAAGCCAACCTTATACAAACAAAAAAAATTAAAAAAAAAAAGCTCTATAGGAACTCCAATACAATCGCGATCATTGCGGCTTAATATCACCATGATAATATTGTTGTTTTAATAGTAACCTTGTAGTAACATATTTTCAATTGTGGATGTGGACAAACTCAATATTTCTTCTTTATAACTAATGGATTTTGTTCTTTTGGATCAATCCCATGCTTTTTAGAAATTTTAAATAAAAAAAGGTCAATATATTTGAACTATATTTAATTAGGATAAATTGTTAGGTTTACTTTAAGTAATCATACACTCCATTCAAAGTATATCAAATATCTAAATAATTATTTCTAGTCAAATTTAAATCATGATTCTTTAACTCAAATTTTCTCTGTAATTTTGCATCTTAAAATTTTCATGCAAAAACTTTTCTCTTCTAGCTAAATGAATTTACTAAAATTTAGAAGCTAATTATAATATAAAACTCTCATAATCTAATATTTTACTTAGGAGATCACCCTCTCAATCTAATTTATCACATTTAAAAATATTTTTTAAAAATTAGAAAACCATCTCAAGCCAAGTTATAATAATAATAATTTTGGCAAATATTTACTTTCCTCATCATAATCTTTAAATAATTTATAATAATAAAAGTATTAGTATCTTTGAACCTTTTTAAATTTTAATAAATTTTTTCAGACCATATATAATTATTATATAAATTAATTAAAAAATATTAATTACTTCAATTCAAGTTAATTTATTTTAAAGGCTTATATATAGAGGAGGAAATATAAAAGTGGGAACGGCCCAACAATTCGCCTCTGCTTTTCTCGTTTTCTCGGGTAGCGGACCTGCTCTAACGAGAGGGAGGGAAGGATGGAGGATCTTGGAGATGTGCCGGTGATTCTGCTTTAGGGCTTTTTTCTGTGTAGCTGGAAATGGCGAGTTACGTGTCGGGGAAGATGAAGAGGAAAGATTTGGATGAGGTCTACGGCGATTTCTCCGATTTATTGTTTTCTGCACCGGCTACGAAGATTCGGAGGCTGGTAATACTTCTCTTTTAGATCTTTTCGTTTCTTATGGGGTTTTAACCGATTTCATGAAATCGGCCTGCAAAAAAAAAGAAGATGAAGGCCATAATGTGAAATTTGCTTGTTAATTTGAACCAGATGTGAGGGTTTTGATTTGTAGCTTTTTAGTTGTCTATTTTATGCTTGTGTTCACTCTGTTATCGGGTTTTGGCTGTGGATTACTGCCTTGCCGATGATACTGTGAGGGCCGTCACTGAAGTTTATTAGGGCTTCCGTTACGATTCACTGATATGTGGTGGATGATGGAGAAGTGGAGGATATCACCAAAGAGGTTACTGTTTTAAGAGAGGAATAAAGTCGTTTTGGATACAAGAGAACCATCACTGGATTTGCTTTGCGGGTTCTCTCATTGCTCAACTTAGAGTTTGTGAGAAGAGAGAAGAGGGAGAGAGGAATGAGCTTTTTTTCTCTTCTAGGCTTTAGAATGAGTTATAGAGAAGGATTCGGTAAGAGAGATGAGCTAGAAAGAGTACTCGAAAGAAGATCTTCAAAATGGAGCTAGGATAGTCTTCCTTGCTTGCCAGATGTAGAGGCATTTGTAAATGAATAATAAGAGGGAAAATTCTACGCATTTAGAAATTATTATTGTTGTGACATTTCAGAAATCTATGAATTACTTGTCCTAGCAGCTATTCAATTGAGTGGCTAGGACACGAGTGAGGGACGGAGAGAATGAGGCAGTGCGATCGATGAAGGTTATGCGGCTTGAGATCTGGAAATCAACTGATTTAGGCTATTTCCAAATGCAGGGAAAATTGAGGTGTTGTGGTATTTCTAACCTCTCAAATTTTTACTTTTTTTTTTTCCTTTACTTCAAATCCAACACAAAAAATATTCGAATACAGGAAAATGGAATGCTATATATTCCTAATGCTTCTAACAGTTTGCTCTTTAATGACACTTAAATGGGAATGTTGTTGTAAAATGTGAATTACATGGATCATTTGTGATCTCTTTAGAAGACATTGATTATTACTTATATTTTAACAAATTGTACTGTCAAATCGAATTTCTTCAGAGCCATATAAATTGTATCTGATCTCATTGTAAGTTACATCGAGAAATTATCTTTTATCTCTTTAGGTATTTGTGTAGATAAATTCTGCATATTTATTAGTCTTGGTCTTTCTATGTATTCATCTATGTCATTTATTATTTTTATTAGATATTCGAAGCTGTTTTATTCACCATATGAATCAATTTCATACTCTGTGGTCACCATGTGGATAAATTTTGAACTCTTTAGATAGCCACGGATCAACATTGATCTCTTTAGATTAACTTAGCTATGTAAATCAATTATTTATAGATACTCGTGTATATTAATTGTGATCTCTTTAGGTAACCATGTACATCAATCAATACCTCTTTACATTGACATTTAGATCAAATATAGAGTCTTTAAATAGCCACATTAGTCAATTCCAACCACTTTATAGAGTCATCTAGTTCAATTTTAATCTCTTTTCGCTGTCAATCTAGATTGACTTAAATATCTCTAGATATCCATGTAGATCAATTACAACATATTTATATAACTATATGAACAATCCTTTCTGACTGATTGTGATAACCATTGGATCATTGTGATATCCTTCAATAGCCATGTAGATAATTTACAAGAATTTCAATTGCATGTTGACATATCGGCTCAATAACACACACACACGACAATGATCTCTATAATATATATTTTCTTGCATCATTAGCATTATAAGGCACAACTGTAACAATAATAACATCAAGCCTTTATCCCACTACGTGGGGTCGGCTACATAAATCTTTTTTCTCCATTGTATTCTATTAAGAGTCAAATTTTCGTTTAAATCTAATAAAGAAAGATCATTTATGATATTTTCTAACCAAATCTTTTTAGGTATATCTCTACCTTTCTTAACATAAGCCAAATCTAATAAATTTACTCTCCTAATCGTGTCATCAGAAGGCCGACGTTGCATGTGGCCAAACCATCGAAGGTGACTCTCTCTCTCTAATTTTATCTGCCATTGGAGTTACTCCAACCTTTTCATGAATATGCTCGTTTTGTATTTTGTCTCTAAAAGTGAAGCCACTCATCCACCTGAGCATCCCCATCTCTACAACACTTAACTTAATTTTATGCTTATCTTTTAATGGCCAACATTCGGCACCATAAAGCATTGCAGGTCTCATCACTATCTTATAGAATTTTTCCTTATGTTTGAGAGGTACTTTTCTATCAAACGACATGCCCGATGCATTCTTCCACTTCAACCATCCAACTTGAATTCTACTTATTTATTTCCATCTATTTCACAACAAAACAAAACAGCATGGTTATATACACTATAGCATATGGTGCATGTGGAGCATTTCACTTTGTTTGGTTATTTTTTTTAGTTTTTTTTATTTATTTATCTGGTTTACTGATTTATTTATTTTATTTTTTGTTTAAAGATTTTTTTAGATATATTAGGATTTCAACTCATTTAACTACTCTCACTTCTTGTGATTATTAACTCATTCCAACCTTTAACCTCGCAAAAAATGCAAAAGGCAAGAGTAATAGAGTTTATGGCAACGACAAAAATATGGGAAGTCAATCCTGAAGCAACGACTATCGCCATCGATTTGTAACACATCATTGTCGTAGTCTAGAGAAGCCGTAGTAGTTGTCTCATTCAAAGCAGCCTTGAGTTTAGGATTTATGAATGAAACTTATTTTGGAGAAATACTAGACCAGGATACAACAATGATTCTACTCTACCTTGCGATGAGATAAGGAGATTTCAGAGAAGCTTAAAGATCATTGACTAGTTTTCAAGTAGCCATTGTGAAGTTTGCATGTGGGCTGCAGTCATAGGATGTTGTTGATGGTTTTGGTATGTGGTGAGCTTGAAGGGATCCACAAAGGAGCTTTTCAATTTGATGTACTTCAGGTTATTAACAAGCTTGCAAAACAGCAGAGGTTGAAGCTCTCATTGAAATGCGTGAAGATCATTGAGGAGACTGGCTAGGTACGATCTTTGTTTCTTGTTCTTAAGCCCAATTCAACCTCAGTTGTTCAACCATTTCGTGTGTCCCAGATCAGATTTTAGTCCATGCAATCAAAACCTGATGGGGTTGGTGGCGAGAATCTTTTGGTATGACTTTGAGGTTTGCTTATAAACCAATGAATAAACTTGACACAGACTCGCTTGGCTATTTTTTGGAGCTCAAAAGATCATCCATGGACCAGAACAGCTTGATAATAGCTATGTGCATTGTAAATTACAAGAGGAACTTTGAGGGATTTTAGACAACTAACAAGTAATCATTGTCCAATCTTCCTGCTTTCGATTATATCAAGTTTCATGAAACTCTGTTGGAAATTTTGAAGAAGTCTCGTGTCTAGATTATTCCAAGTAACCCACCTTCTAGATATGAAATAAATCTCTTTTTTTATTGATTTTAAAATAGATGTCATGACTCTTTTTGTGGATCTCTATGATTAGTTTCTTTCTTATGATTTGATCTAAATGGAAGCATCATCTGTATATGCTCGTTCTTGATCAAGGCTTATCGGTCAAATGAGGAGAATTTATTTTCCAGCAAAATAGGATCTTTGTGTGGCATACCTTCTCTTTAGCAGTTTTGTTTAGGATGAGAAGTTCTTACTTCTTTCTGCAATTGTATGATATGATATTTTATATTGAATGGCTGATATGATGATTTAGGTTTCGTTTGGGACAGCTTTCTTTTTGCTTCTTTAAGTGGCTTTTTAGTATAAAAATTTTAATTTTTGTACTGAAAAGTCGTTTTAAGAAGCAATAAGAAAGTCATCCCAAACAAAATCTTAATGGTCTTATTTGATGTTTTCCTGCTGAAGCAACCGATTGCACTAATTATTAAGTTGATTAGTTTTCTGTTTTGATTTATGTATAAGGATGCTGAATTGCCTTTGATCTCCGACAAGATTGAACCACCATTTACCACCTCGGTGCTTGGAAAAGGACTACTGCCCGATGAAGAAATGTGCAGTGCTGTGCTGGATGAGAGGTCAGGATTAACTGAAGCTGTTTCGCCTTCCACATTCAATGAAGAAAGAGCTCTTGTTATGTATAAACCTCCAGATGCGCAGTTTGCCTCTTCTTTAAAAATTAACCCAAAACTGATCACTTGTCTCAAGAGTAAGTACATCCTGAATCCTTCTCATTATATATTTTTGTATTCCCTTTTTTTTTTTGTTTAACCCTTGCACTAGTTATCTTGGCTTCCTTCTTACGCCATATTTCCATATTACTTATATTGAAATTACTATTTTTTAAGAGTAGAAATTTATTTTATATTTTCATTAGGTGGGCCCAAAGTCAATTACATATATTAAATTTATTTAGATATTTAGAAATTCATCATTACTGTGACTAATGCCTAGAATTCTAAGTTAGAAATTAAAGACTCTATGTACCGTTTAAGTGAAGGTTAGGGGTGTCAATAATTGACCCAACCCTATACCCGACTATCCCGTTTATAAAACTGGGTCGGGTTCAGGTTGACCCGGAAATCAGAAATCAACCCGGTTTAATCCGTTTTTAATTAATTTATGAGGATTTTAAAATAATTGTTATAAAATAAGTAAATGATATTTCTAAAAAATAATAAGCATTGTTGCCCAAATTAAATTAAGCTTGATTTATTTTAAATTGATTGAAGTAAATCTTACCTTAATTTGATTTAGGTTTAAATAAATCGAATTAAATAAAAAAAATTTAGTAAACATACCCGAAGAGGGTTGGGTTCAGGTTCGGAAAACCGACCCGGGTTCGGGTCTGGTCAAACAGTGTCTGGTCAGTTTCGGGTTGGACCCGAATTCGACCCGTGACCTAATTTTGACAGCCCTAGTGAAGGCCTTTTGATTTTTCATGCTACAAGATGTTAAAATTTTTTGTCTAATCAACTTTGTCGTCTCTCACTGTTGGCAAACTTCCATCTCATTTCTTATAAAAAGAATCCATTGAATGGTCATCTTCTTTCCTTTTTGTCACAACAATCATAACTTGGTATGATTTACTGAACTAATATTGCCTACTTGATATCATTAAGTACAGATTATGCATTCTGGCCAAGAAACCCTAACATGCTAGTTGAAGAACAACGCGAGGAAGATCTGCAATCACCAACTAATAAATGCTTAGCTGTGGTTCCTTGGGTTCCATCTCATGTCTCTGTAACTCGACAAGTAATGGAAGCTTTGGCTTCTGGAAATGAGCCAATTGAAGAACAAATGGAAGCAGAAGCAGCTCATACATCTATGGAAATAGAAGAGGAGAACAGTGAATCTGATATTTCTGGTGTTGGAGCTCAAGGCAATCAACAATGGCAACAACATTGCATGACTCCACAGCTCCTGCAGAACAACTCCACTATAATGTGGTGATAAAATCATCCAATTTTCTATTTTTTTTGGCCTCCCATTGGTGAAGAAGATGATGCTCAACCATTTTGATAAGGTATTTTACTCCATAAACCTCCTTTAATTTAAGAGTGGAAATCAATCTATTGAGCTATTTTGTTCAGCTCCAAGATCTTCTTCACCAGAGTTAATTAAAGGTTTTTTTTTGGTGAGCTTGAAGTTTGTATGTACACATTGAAGCAATTATAGATGCGGATCATTTTGATCTGTTGGTTAGGATCTTTGACTATCAATTAAGAGGTTTTGAGTTCGAGTCTTGCCTTAATTAGCCTATATTAGAGGTGCTGCTGTACATTTTCTTGAACATTAGTGGGTCAACCTGTAATTTGCAACTTTTGTGGACAATATTCATTTGAGCAATATTTTTTATATACTTATTTTGATTTGAAGATATTCATATATTTTTAATTTATTGTGTATTTATGTTTTAAAAAAAACAAGGTATTTACATCAATATTAAACCAATAGGTTAATCAATATTTTAAAAATGATTTTTTTGGTGGGAAATTTAGGTCAGAATTTTCTACTGAAAATGCAGAAAAAAGTGTTATATGTTTACGTACAAATATTATATACATAAATTTAGGGTTATGAAACAACACTTAAATTTATAAATTCTTTTTAAATTAAAATTTAAGTCTTTTTTTTTTTAATTCGATTTTATATGCCTATATTAATAATAATAATTAAAAAATATGCTAACTATTTATTTATTTTTTAAATATGTTGCAAAGTTTATTACAGGTAAAAATATTTATGCAACCAAATTTTATTTTTGAGTCATTAACAAGCTGAGTATGAGGTTTTACTCGTACAAAAATCTTATTATGTTTTTCTGACTTTTAGCTCGTTATAAATAATTTTAATTAGGAATATGAAGCGAGAGAGAAAACAATACAGAGATATCTTTTCTAAGCCAAAATTGAAAATTATAAATGAGAGCATTTCTACATTGAACAAAATTATAAATGAGAGCATTTCTACATTGAACAAACAGCTTTATTACTATTTCTTATGTTAAAAAAAAAACTATAGTTGATTTTTTTTTACTTTAAGTTGACAAATCTTCAAAGTTGAATTTGACATATTGATGACTTAGGCGTCTTGAGATGGTTTTATTACTGTTTTTAGTATAAAAATTTCTTGAAATCAGAAAAAAAAAATAACAATCTAAAGCTATTCCAAATGAAGCCTTAGGCTGGATTTGGAACGGCTTTCTTATTGCTTTCTGAAACAACTGTTTAATACAATGTTTTTAGTTTCAATTTTTTTTTTTGTACTTAAACTGATTTAGAAAACAGTAAAATAGTCGTCCCAAACAAAACCTTAAATTAAAATTAGGAATTTTTTATTTTCTAAATTCACACTCAACTAATCAATGGATATCGTTCTATTTTGACTCGAAGATATTGGAACTTTTATTACGTGCGGTGTAAGGACGTAGAGGAACATCCGGTTGGAGGCAAAATCCCGCCAAAAAACTCGGTATTTGCTTGGTACAACTAGGTATTATTTGATATTAACGAGGAATACCGCTCTTTGAAGACCAATACCGAGTTATATCGAGCTGTACCGAGAAATACTGAGTTGTACTGAGTTTTTCTAGGAAAAACTCTGTACAACTTTTGTATAACTCGGTATTTCTCAGTTTAGCTCGGTATAACTCGGTATTGGGTCTTCAAATGATGATATTCCTCGTTATTGTTTGGTATTGCTCGGTATAACTCATTTTTTGGTGGGATTTGGCCTCCGACCGGACGTTCCTCTGCGTCCGATCGGAGGACGTAATAATTGTTCATGATATTGACCTTCAGTTCGGCTTTACAATTCTTACACATTTTGTTTTCCTTTTTGAAATGCTTCTAATTCAACTAGTCGAGATTGGGATTTCACATTATTCATGGAATCCATTTGTTCAAATTTTTTCTTCTTCACCTTCACCAATTCTTGTTGTGTGACTTCTAAGTCTTGTAGAGCTTTACCATCTTAGATTCAATTTAACTAGAATAGAGATCTTTTGAGAGAAAATTGAGCTAAAAATATGCCCTTCAAATGCAAGATTATATATATTAATTTTATTGCACGTGCATTAAATGTACGTGAATAAAAATTTAAAAATAGTATTGAGTAGGCAAGACATCACAGTAAGCGTCCAAATTTTTTTTTCTTGTAGTAAGTACACGTTAATAAAATTAAAAAAATATATATATTATAAAGAATCAAATTAATTAAAATTTTAATTCCCTAAAATTTTAGTACACACTGTGTACAAAAAATTGATACACACTTTGTATACAGTGTGTAAACTCACATGTCCAAACAGTTCTTCACGTCGGAACTCAACACAAAATAATTTCTCCCTCCTCCTTAGAGCCTCTAGAACTAAACTTCTCTTAATAAATTTATTTTATATGTTTTTCATCAATTATCTTGTTCTTAATCATAAAAAAATAGGCCTATTTCTAAAATAATAAGATTCTTGATAATAATATTGAATACAAGTGTCAGATAATAAAGGATTTATATGGATTAATTATTCATATAAATATATTCTTGGGCTTCATTGAGGACAGCTTTTGACTACTATTTTTTTATTATTTTTAAAAAAAAAATTATACTAAAAAACTATTATAGAAAGCATTAAAAATTTGTTCTAAAGAAAGCCTTATTAATATTCTTCCATTTATTAAACCAAATGAAATTTCTATAATTGGCATGTTCTTCTTCGCATGCTTGTTTAACTTTGAAGATAAAATGGTCAAAATATTTTCATTGCAGGAAACAAAATTAGTATAACATATGATTGTGAAAATTTGTTACACGAATTTTGTCGTAAATTATAATAGTTAAATTAGGAATCTTTGTTTTGTACAAAAGGATCATATAGAATGCTGAGTGGAGAATAATAGCATATGGTAGCAAAAGTGAACATAATCTCATATGATATGATGAAGAGCGGAAGAGAACAACAAGGAGAAAAAAGATCATTACCTTCATGGTGAACTCCCGTCGTGACTTCTGATCCAACAGAAACAATGTTCTAGAAGACAAAGAAGTTTCTTTAGCGACTCTTTCAAAACTCTTATTCAAGCAAAGCATATGGTTGGGCTCTCGTCGTGACTTCCCATCCCAAAAGAAGAACTTCGTAAAAAAAAAAGACGAATAAGCTTCTATAGCGACTATTTCAAAGCTCTTCTTCAAAAAATACGTCGAAGAAGCGCGCAAGGAGAAAATGTAGAAAAATATCATTGCCTTTGTAGCGAACTCCCATCGCGACTTCCGGACGCCGTAGAGCAAGGTCAAGCACTCGGTTGGAGATGGCTAAGAGCCACGAAATCTTATGGTGTAGCTTTATTTTGATTTTTAAAAATGAACGGATACTAACGGAAAATTTTTATGGTATATCTTATGGAAATAGCTTTATGGTGTATCTTATGGATTATTAGAAATGAAAAGTTACTTAATTAGCAGAAATGCACTTTAAATATTAGGGAGTTTCTTTCTTAAATGCAATTGATCACAGTTTTAAAATTAAAAAAAAAACGTAGTAGGTTTAAATAGTTAAATTAAGGGTATTAGAATATAAACTTAATGAAAATTTTATACATTATAAATGTAATTAATATATATAATTTAAAAATATATATATATATTAAGCTAAGTGTTGTAGAGATGAGGATGCTCATGTGGATGAGTGGTTTTACTCTTAGAGACAAGATACGAAATAAGCATAAACATGAAAAGGTTGGAGAAGCTCCAGTGGCAGATAAGATTAGAGAGAGTCACTGGTCACATAAAACGGCGGCCTTTTGATTACCTAGTTAATTAAGAGAGTATATGTATTAGATTTAACCAATGTTAAGAAAGGTAGAGATAGACCTAAAAAGACTTGGTTAGAAGTAATAAAAATGACTTTTCATTATTGTATATAAATGAGAATTTGACTCTTAACCGAACACAATGGAGAAAAATGATTCATGTAGTTATCCCCACATAGTGGGATAAAAGCTTGATGTTGTTGCTGTTGTTGGACATTTAGGTCAATTAAGGCAAACTCACACACACATCACATATACAAGACTCGAATTCAACATCTCTTAGTCGGTAGCCAACGCTCCCAACGAATAGACCAAGTCAGTTGCATTATTTGATTATATTAATTTATCTTATATCATTCTTAGGGCATCTCCAATGGAACTCCAAATGTTTGAATGTCGTCGCCTCCGAGCTCCAGCCGAACGGTGAAACTTCCGCTATTTTCATGCGGGTGAACAGTAGGACGCCAATATTGGTGTTGAACTATTCATCATCGCTATTTTTCTCGGTCTACCGAACTTGACAAGAAGCGCGCAAAAGAAAAAAAAAAAGATCGTTACCTTCTCAAAATGGAGTTCCATTGGAGATGAATCGCGGCATTTTTAAGTTTCACGACATTTTGGAGTGAAAAATGCGATTTCCGTTGGAGATGGTCTTAATCAAGTTAATTAAATTATAATTAGTATATACCATTAATTAAAATTAGCCATTTATTAAGCTAATTAAAAACAACTTCTACTTAGTCAAAGTTAAAAATAAAAGTAATTAAACAACAAAAATTGAGCACCCTTCTCTCATCCCATCTTGCATTTTCATCATTACCATTGGCATTGAATATTTACAATCACTTACAAACTTATTGGTGCCAATAGCCCAAAATAATTTATCTTTGGAACCAACAAAATCTGCAATTAATAGATATCTTGATTTTCTTCTAAATCAAAGCCAAACTCCTTTCATCATCTGAATGCTGATTGCTGAGTAAATTTCTGTTCAGAACATCTTGAACTAATCTCTCATTCCTCTCAGTTCTTTGGATAGTAAGAATCCAACCATGCAGGACTTCCATGTTCATAGAATGGAACGTTATTCATGATCTCTTCCTGTGGATTCATAATATCACGGAACCAATCCTGCCTCTGCAGATCCTCCATGGCCTCGTCGAACACCAGCTTCTCCTTCGTCTCCGGAGTCGGCTCCGCCGCCGCCACCGCCACCTCCTTCATAATAATCTCTGCCATTGGAGGCAGCTCCTCCTTGATATCTGCCTTTGCAGCGACCATCTCTAATGGAAGGTGCTCTAATCTCCTCTTTACTTCCTTCAGCTTGAGCTCAATGTGCCAGGCTAAGCTTGTCAGGCTCCTCATTTCTAAGCTCTGCAAGTTCATCTTCCCCATGAGGCCTTTGTACATTATCAGCATTGTCTCTACTTCTCGGTTCTCTCTCTCCTGCTTCCGAATCTGTTCTTGCAGCTTCCCAATCCTGTGCCTCATAAAGCCTGTACAAACAAAAAGATAAATTTTGTAGATTCAACTTCAGTAAATCTTAAACGACCAAAAAAGAAAAGAACTTTAATCACCTTCCTGGTTCATCATCTTCTTGCTCTGCTCCATCTCCGGCAACCGCCGCAGCTTAGCCAGAACTTTGTTAGCTTCATGGGGAGAAGGCCAAACCTCCGGCTGTGCGTCACTGGGCGCATAGATTATCAAACAAGCCTTAACATCACAGAGCGTGCTGAGCTCTTCAACCTTCTTCACCAATCCCTTCCTCCTCTTCTTCAGCGTGGCTCTGCGGGCAGAGTCATTAGCTATCCATTCAAGCTTCACCTTCTTCCTCGCCATGGCGGTGGAGGGAATGAAAGAAGCAAAAAATGGCATACTATATATAGCTGAAATTCATTACAGAAAGCAAAGAAGCTTTTGATGAGGATTAGGACTTTACTGCATAAATTAATTGTAGAGATTATGTGAGATTATACGTAATATATTTGGATGATTTTGTGGAGGCTAATTTAGGAAATTAAATGACTGGATCTGAATATATATTATGATAATTATGACTGTATATATCCTCTCTCTGGAAAGTGGAAATTAATTGTGGATAAATAAATAAATTTAATTCAAGCTGGTTGGGTTGGGTTGTAAGAAACTTTATTTTTCATTTAATAGTTTTAATTCTGGAGATAAATGAGATAATTATTTCGTTTATTTGCTGGTTTTGAGGGGAACAAATGAAATGAAATGAATTTGGTGGCTCTGTACTGCCATTCATTCATTCATTAATCCTTTCATGTTAGATTTTCGTATGGACAACAGAGTTCATCTTGGTCTGTTAGTTGGAAGCTTCGTCCATCAATCAAGAGATATTGAGTTCGAGTCTTATGTATGTGATTTGTGTGTGAGTTTGAAACAATTATTACGTCCTCCAACCGGACGTAGAACTACGTCCGGTCGGAGCTAAAATCGCGCCAAAAAACGAGAAATACCGAGCAATACCAAACAATAACGAGGAATATCATCATGTGAAGACCCAATACCGAGTTATATCTAGCTATACCGAGCAATACCGAGTTATACAAAAAAACTCTGTATTTTTTTTGTATGACTCGGTATTGCTCGGTATAATTCGGTATTGGGTCTTCAAATTATGGTATTCCTCGTTATTATCAAATAATACCTAGCAATACCGAGCAAATACCGAGTTTTTTGGCGAGATTTTAGTGCCGACCGGACGTTCCTCTACGTACGTTCACCGGACCAAATAAAAGTTCGTGAGTTTGTCTTAACGGATTAAATGTTATAGAAAATTAAATTAAATTTATAAAAAAAAAATCATTAAATTAGGACAATATTTTAAACTAGGAATTATTAAAATTTTAATTTTGTACTTAAGTATTTAAAAAAGTTTTAAGTGGACAAAGTTGTCCATCAAACGGGTAATTGGCTGCTAACTTAGATTTGCTTAGTCATGTGTCAGTCGCCCAACTAACGAGCATTTTCTTTTATAAAAAATTATTGTTGAAAATTGTATGTTAAATAGTCGACTTGCTATAATAAATTTATTAAATGATTTTGCCTAGTTGTAAATTTTTATTTTATGATTCATAATTATCTAAATAATTTTTTAATCATACATGCTTAAAAAATTTGCCACATTAAATTATTGGTATTTAAGAATATTTGTTTTAATTTTAAAGTTTGAACCAAAATGAATCATATTATTAATAATTATAAAATAATCTCTTTCATAAAATAAGTCATTTATGGTTTTCTCAATGTAAGAGATAAAAATTAAAATATGAATATTATTTTGATCATAATCTATGGTATATTTGGGATAGCATTTTTATTACTTTACTTTTCAGACACCAATCATAATTTTATTTTGTTAGTACTTTATATGGTGAAAAATTATTTCTGCAACTATAATAACTAAGGTTTCGTTTGGGACAGTTTTCTCATTACTTTCTAAAATAAGTTTTTAGTAAAAAAAAAAAATTTAATTTGAAATTTTTTTTTAACAAAAACACTGTTTTAGAAAGCATTAAGAAACCTGTCCCAAAGGAACCCTAAGTCTTCATCTGAAACAGTTTTTTTACTACTTTGTTTTTTAGACCGCAATCATAATTTCTTTCTGACTACTATTTTTTTACTGCTTTTGAAAAAAAAATTATCTTTTTGAACGACAGTTTTACGAAGCAGTAAGAAAATTATCCCAAATAATATTTTCTGTGTTTTTTGGTTTAAAGCGCAAATTTATTTTCATGGGTTTGATAATTATATGAAAAATAGTATTTGTTAAACCTAAATATTGTTAAACCTTTGATTATATAGAGATAATAATGGTTAGGGGATGCATTAATTGCTAACATTTATATGCTAATGTATATATCTTGCTGTCGTTAACTTGTTTTCTTAGTGTACATTAGTTGGCCTAATAATTTCCAAAGTTTTAAATTTCTTCTATTAATGGTAAAATGCTTTATACGAAGATCATTGTGTGTGTAATCAGGAACACATCAAGATTGGTGCCGGATTTTCCATCAACCTTAGTGAAGCACACGGCCCGCAGGCGAGCCTATGAAAAAGTGCACGGGCTCATAGGATTATTCTGCGTGGACGATGAATACAGCTCATCGTTTGGAGAGCAATAAGAATACGTCATGTCAGTAGTATTGAGCTCAGTACCAAGCAGTATTGAGCCGCGGTACTAGACAGTACCGAACCATATACGAACAGGGGTGATGTGGCCCATTTTTATTGGTCTCAAGACGACTTTGTGCATCTGCACATAATAATTTCACAACACAGAGGGGTACTCGAGAGATTATTTTGTGCGGACGTCGAACGCAGTTCACCGTCTGGAGACCAATCAGAATATGACACGTGCCATTTGGTACCGCTGGGTACCGCTAAGTACACAATGCTTGTTGCGGACGGTTCTCCCCGTCTGCTCTCTGCACCTAATAATCTCTCATTAAACAAACATGAATTACACAAACCAAATAGCACAATACATTACACATAGTTTTAGAATAATTTCACAGAATCAAAATCCTAATAGTACAACTATGATTTCATTTGGGATAGCTTTCTCGCTACTTTCTAAAACAACTTTTTAGTAAAAAAATTTTAGTTTAATAAATTTTTGTACTAAAAAATAATTAAAAAATTGAGCATATATTCATGTCTCTGATCTTCAGAACCAAATGAACTAAACTGTTTAATGTACCCTCTTATTTGCACGGATGCCCAATTAATTGAGCATGTTCATAAGGCCCAATAAAAATTGAGTAAGCCCACTGGACTTGCTATAGATCACCCTTATAGTTTCTTATCTTAATTTCAAACATTAAAAGCCTTTGATATTGACTCTAATTGGCCCAACATAATAAACTCAGCAAAAACCTAAGCTAAGGCCCATAGTACTATTTTATTTTGATATTATAATTATAATTTTATTTAGTCATTACTTTTTGACTGCTTTCAACAAAAATTGTGATAAGAAGTTACTTTTTACAATTTAAAAAATTACGTTATCTACGATAGTTCTACAAAATAGTAAGAATGTTGTTCCAAATAAAGCATTTGGCTTTGTTTGAGATAGCTTTTTTACTGTTTTTAAAATAATTTTTTAGTACAAAAATTTATTGAACTAAAAATTTTTCTACTAGAAAGCTACTTTAAAAAGCAGTAAGAAAACTATCCCAAATGAAGTCATAGGCTTTGGTTGGGACAGCTTTCTTTCTGCTTCTTAAAGCAATTTTCTTGTTTAAAATAAAAAATTTTTGTACTATGAAGTTACTTTAAGAAGTAGAAAGAAAGTCGTCCCAAATGAAGCCTAAATCAAAACCTTACATCTTATTTACAATCATTCGAGGCTAATAATTTATATTGATCTCCATTTCTTCACACAAGAATTTTTCAAGTTTTTATTTTTTATTTTTTTTTTAATTCTTTCAGGTTATTCTATTTAGTGGTATATATTTTCATAATATATTATATAGGAATTTAATTAATGAATCTTATTGTTATCTTATTAATGATATTGATATTTATGATATGAAAGATATCAATATTGATGATATTGATAATGACTTTGATATTGAAATTAAAATATTGTGAAGAATATATGTGCTAATTAATTACATGATATGAGATATGCTTTGAATTAATTTCATCAAATAATTCTAATTAGCAAATATAATGTCTCCTTGCATCATTATGAATTTCAACCATTTATAATTTAAATCATGTAAATAAGGAGGAATATTTATACATTAATCTATTATATAGAACTCCCTATGAAAGATTTTTGTTTTTTGTTTTTATTTTTATATATTCTCCCCCTAAAAAGTTGTATATATATAATACTAAATTACATTATTTCAATAATATAATCTTGAATTTGAATATTATATCATATGATATAAATAAAATTAAAATTAAAAGTATTGCATGTCAGAATACTAATAAAATTTGGTAGAGAGAAAATATTTAATGTATTAGCTTGGTATGAAATTTAATATAAACATAGATAAAAGAGGGTTGTATGAGATACTAATATTTTTAAGTAAAATTTTCAAAAAAAAAGAGAAAATTCATAAGACGGCTCAATTGAAACGATTCAACTAGCTAGTATTTTTTATCGATCGGTCATAAATGACGTTGTTCCTCAAAATTAGGAAAAATATTAATACAATATAGTAAACATAAATAATATATAATGGATTTCGTGATGGAAGTTGAAGGAGTCCTATGGCATTGAAGTTGTCTTTAAGAGATCATATTTTGTTTGTTGATCGAAACATGGTCTGCCAGTACTCGGTAGTGACCAGACAATTTTCCAATGGTGACGATTAGTTTGTACTATGATAGTGAGTGTTAGATGAAGCTTTGAGATACTTTAAAACTATGACCATTGTTCATTCTCTTGTCTCATTTCCCTCTTCATGTTGAGAGTGAAGATCTGTATATAAATTTTAAGAGTGGTAAACTGCATTAATATGAAATCTAGAACAAACCATTTGACGATCAATATTGATTCCCTTGATCTTATATCATTCCTTCAGCATTTAAGTGCCTTAATGATGTAGGAATTAAATGATCTTGGGCTTTTTAGATTTTTCTAGCAAAGATGCTTGATTTGACTATAAGCATATAACATTTGCAAATCATTTACCCAATCAATATGCCTAAGTTTCTAATTAAGTATCAAGTATTTAATTTAGACTCATTTGGAGCGTATTGAATCACTTTTAGTGTTGATGGGTTCATTTTATTTAGACATTCAATTTGTTTATAAATTTGCTAAAATTGAAGTTTGGTTGATCATGATTTTA